ACCTCCACCCCTGCCTAAACCACTGCCCTGTTGTGGACTATCTCTCACCTTGTGGCCCTGCTGGCCACACCCAAAATATCCTCCCCACGCCATCTGAATCTGTGGACACTGTGCCTTGTAATGCTCGAGTTGCTTGCACTTAAAACACACATCTAGCCTGGAAGATCCCATAGACACTGATGCTGTGGGTGCAGGTCTGTCTGACTGCTGTCCCCTAAACCCTGACGGTTCATTCTTCTACCTTTTCTGTGACTGGCCCTCTGAAGTAGAACCCATACTCTTGCTAATCTTGTAGGACTTCTTAATGGCTTTCTTATCTTTGTTCTCAACCACTATAACTAAGGCCTTTCTCACTTCCTTTGCATATCCGTCGGCTCCGCATCAGCTACAAATGGCCTGATAGTGAAATCAAGGCCGTCAACAAATTTCTCTATCTTTCCTTCCTCATCTTCAGCAAGTCTTGGTGCAAACCTCAAAAGTGACGTGAACTTGTTCTCATACTCTGTAACTATCATGTTTCCTTACTTCAACCCATCAAACTCTTTCTTTAATTCTCTCCACTTAGGTGTAGGAAAGTATTTCTCATAGTACAACTTCTTAAATGTGTCGTAGGTCATTGTATCCAAATTGTGGGTGTGAGAAACGGTCTTCCACGAAATCTCAGCATCCCCAACAAAATTATAGGTTGCTAATGTAATCTTCAACTTGTCCATCACCAAATTCATGGCGTTAAGATGTTCCTCCACCCTATCCATGAAATTATCCACAACAAGCGAATCTGGACCGCCCTCAAACAAAGTCGGCATCAATTTCACAAACTTACCAATGTGATAAAAGTATCATCTGTCTCACTTGTCTTTGGAGGTGGTGGTGGTGGTGGTGCTAGTGATGGCACAACATGTGATGATGATGCCACTGCAGTCCAAAATGCATTATGAAAGAATGCATGTACAACCAACTTAAGCTGCTCCTCACTTATCTGAGGAGGAGGCTCGACGGTTCCCCTCGCTTATTCCCCTCTTGGTGAGACCAAATCCCGCAACAACACATCTTCCTCAACCTGCTTCTGATCCCTTTCAGTGGGATTAGAGCTAGAACTCTCCCTTAGATCCTTTTTTGGTGGCATGACGCTATAAGAAAAAGGAAACGAGTCAAAAACGATGACACTAAAATACGCACGAGAACGAAGTCCTCACACGAATGACTTGACAAGAATGGAAACATATAAACACCTTCCATACTCTCGGAATACCCAACTAATGATAAACATGATCATGATAATAATATACATCAACTTTAAACATTTAGCACGTAATTACATAAGCAGTTAAACAACTAAGCAGTTAGACATGCTTTTCAAACAATTAAACACCTTAACACATAAGCATATAAACATGCAATTCAACTTCCTCATGCAATCCTAGGTAGGCTTTTACCCGTCATCCTAATGGTATTCGAACCATTACTCTGATACTAAATTTGTAATGACCCAAAATTTCGGCATGACCTCTGCTGAAAAATTCCTACTATGACCTGCTACTAAAATATAAGAATACAATGGCCTCACTTGGACCTTAAAATTTATTTATCCTATCCCAAAACACAGCAATATACCACATTCCAACATTTCATTTATCTATTCATTATACCCCAACACAGTTCATTACTTGGTACATCAACCACATACCATCTAGTCTAAATGCATCATAATTACAGTCCCAAAACATGATTTAGAATCCTAACATATACTGAGACATTTTACAAGAGTTACTCCATGCTCATTATTATAATTACAAAGTTTCCAAATACAAAATTATATAGAACATAATTATATCATTACAACGTAAAACTTTGGTTGCAAAAACTAATAAAACGGTCTTCTAATCTATACTAAGCTTGTGGGGGAATGTCGTCCGCCACTTCTTTTCCGTGTCTTGAAAAAAAATGTTTAAGTAATGGGGTGAGCATAAAGTTCAGTAGAAGTTGCCTAAGACACTAGTTTTGGACTCCCTTGAGCCATACAACACATAAGAGAATAGATTATGGAGCCGGGGTCATGCCATGTGGTTCAAATAACATTTCCATTTAACAAGTAATTTTTTTCCTAGTCACAAGCACAATTTTAGAATTAATGTGCGTGAAATGATTTGAGATGTGATGTACCCATCCCAAATATGATCCATACCGACCCAACCCACACTTTTTTAAAAATTTGCTAACTGACTTTATTGAGGCGAGATTGATATCTATCCCCGGTTCCAAATCCAGCAACCGTTAAAGGGCTTAGTATCAACATTTTCACACCTTATACCGGGCCGTGCTCCCTCTAGGTCAAGCTAGCCCCGGACTCGCGAAATCCGGTTCAATCACTTAAAACAAAGCTTTCTTTTCAAATCTTTTCAAAATCCCCTTTTTATGCCATGTTAGATGTTTTTCATGATCCCAACATTCAAGCTTGTCAATTTAGTAATAAAAACATTAACATGGCAATTCCAATCCAACAAATATAACAATATATTCTATAAAATCAATTAGGGTCATGGCATGTTTTAAAAATTTCAACACAACAATAATATCATCTACTATATTAATTTAGGCAAAACAATTTCTTACAAGACCCACACATCAACATATTCAACATATAATCATCCACACACTAATATCATGTTATTATTTATTCATCAACAAGATCCCCAAATAAACATAAAGATACATGCCTTTGACACAAAATATACAACAAGTCACAATTAAACACTTAAACTTATTCATAGAACTACCATTTTCATGTCAAAATTTACAATTCTTTAGATGAAATATAAAGAAATAGGAATTACTCAAGTAAAAGGTAAAACTTGATATATTAGGGAGACCCTTACCTCAATCGGAGAGCAAAGACACAAGAAGCCCCAAATTAAGCCCAAAATCCTAGAATTTTGAAATCCCTAGAGTGCACCAAATGAGGAATTACTTGTATTTACACGTAGATTTCGCCGAGCTCTTCGATTTGCCACAAACAGCACCCAAAAATTTCAAATGGTTAAAAAGTAATTAAAGATAGAAGTTGTAAAAGAAAAAGACAAAAAAATTTCTAGTGAGAGAAAGAGAGCTGGTCGTGATCTGCCGAAGGTAATGGCTAAACATAATATATCATGTGGGCCCCACCATTTTATTTTATTTTCTTTTATAATAATTTTTAATAACATAAACTTATATATATTTATATATATATACAATAACTAATTCACCACCACACCAATTAACATATAAACAAATAATCTATGTACAAAATAATAATGCAAGAAATGCAATGAACCCGTGACACAACCATCGTACACAACAATCTCGGTAATGGGTCCCACTTGGAACCTCTCGGCCCGAAAAATGAAAAATGCCGAAACGGCAACCATTGCATTTTCATGAGCCCTGAACTCAAGGAAATACCCCAATCAACTCTCTAACACACCCGGTACACCACATAGTGTCCGGCACGTAAAACGAGAAAAAACTAAAATAACTTCGTAAAACAGAAAAATTCCAAAAAAAATGAAAAATGACAAAAATCATAAGCATTACACCCTTGACTTGGTAGGGGTATTTTTTTTGCATTACCCATTAATTTTAATTTTATTTTTATTTTTTGTGTCAGGGGAGGAGGGTATGGCAAAAAATAAATAAATAAAATAGTCAAATTTACTGCAAAACAATACAACTTAGGGTTCAATGCAATTCGCCCTTGGTTACATATTCATCAATCATATTTTGAACTTGTGAACTTTGTAATGCAGACTTCACCCTTTTTAGATTAACTTATTTATTTGAAACTTCACCATTTTTTATTAGATTATTCGTGAACTTTCTTTTGAGTTTTTACCATCTCATTTTGCATTAACTTTTCTAGTTCAATCTTCACCATTTCTAATTGCATATATTTATTAGTTTTATTTTTATTTTTCATCAATAAATTTGTAAAATGACTTCACCATTTTTAGTTATATTTTAACCCACACTCGTACAGATGAAAACACAAGCATTTAAAGGACTCTTGTCCAAATTTCCAACTCTCACCCCCTGTATGCTTTTCGTCATCTTTTTCTTTTCATCTTTCCCATTCTCTAACTTCTCTTTTCCCACTTATTTTTTACCAAACTGTACCACTAAGACCGACTTTATCTTCTTTAGCTTTAATGGCTTTGTCTTGTCGGAGGACTTCCCTTTTTATTTTTTTCATTGCCCTTTTTATGTTCACTTTATGGACGGAAAGGATATAATCCGAATAGTAATTCCATCTTTTTCTTTTGGAAAGTAAAGCAAAGTTAAACACATTTGTCTCCACTAATGTTAAAACTTTGATCTCCCCTTTTAAAGTGGTGGATTTGTGCTAGCTGCGCTGTTGCCCATTTGGTAATTCCACCCTCTTTCTTTTCAATGTTTTCCTAATATTCCTTCCAATAAATCATAACTAATGAAGTATTTTCCCTAATGAATATGAGTTGTGCAAGTGAAATGGTTGTGCAAAAACAAATATGGAATAATATCTAGAGGCAGTTAAATAGGTTCCACTTACTCTTTTATTTTATTTTTACCAAATTAAACTTTATAAAAATAAAACTTAATTACCAACCCACAATGCAAAAATTAAAGTTCAATAAATAAAAGTGAGTTAAAGACCGGAATGATAGCTGAGGAAAACCCTAATAGGAGAAATTCATCTAATCGAGAGAAAAAAATCTCTTGAGACTTTTATGCGGTCTCAAATGAAACGATCCATTATTTTAGAAGAAAAATATAATGAACTTTGACAAATGCTCACACCCACTCCGCTCTACTAAGAACCAATTACCGAATGCCGCTGGCTTTGCGACTTACTCGTCCAAACTTTATAGACTTCAAGTTTACTTCTTTAATCCTTGCAGAAGGATTGCTGGCTGGTAGATAATGAACACTCCGCGAATGCTCTAATTCTCTAACTCCTTCTTAGTATGATCGATTCCTCATTTCCTTCAAATCTGAATTGATGAAGGTAAACGAACTCTAGTATTTTGAATGGTAGCAATGGATCTTCAATAACTCGAACTCCGATTAGATAGAGAACAACATCCAAAATAATTCATGTGTATGGTACGTTCCCCTAAAAAAAATATAAAATCAATTTTTTATAAAAATCTCTTTCTATAAGCTTTATCCCAAGAGCCGTAAAAAATTATAAAATAATTATGCAAATATAAAAATAAAATAAAATTATGCAATACATTTAAATCAAATATGCAACATTGCAGTACTTCTTGTTGTTTCTGATGTTTATGACTGACAAGTTGAAAGATCAAATTTGTTTATAGATAAGAGAGAGAGGCTGTAGAGAGATTAGGTGTTTGAGCACTCCTGAAATGGCCAAATTTCCATTGCAGTACTTCTTGTTGTTTCTGATGTTGTTTGTGAGGCTAGAAGGACTAGGTAAAGGCCAGAATGAGTACTGCAAGGAAGTTTCCAGGTGCAAGAAGCATGGTCCAGCCATCCATTTCCCGTTCCGGCTTAAAGACAGCCAGCCCAGACACTGTGGCTATCCCGGATTTGAGCTAACGTGCAACCAGAGGAATGAAACCGTGCTGGAGCTGCCGAATTCAGTAAATCTGCTTGTCAGTAAGATCGATTACAAGTCTCAATCCATTCACGTGTATGACGGGGAAGGCTGCCTTCTAAGACGGCTTATAAACCTCAACTCATCTAGTGACACTACTTTTCACTTTTATTATGAATCGTTTGACATGAATTACTATTTTCTGTACAATTGTAGTTCTGTACCAGATGGATATGTAGAATACTTCATCCCTTGCCTTAGTACTGTTCCCGGATATAGAATTTATGCCGTCCCTTACTTTGGCTATTATTCCATGACTTCCTGCACAAAGATTGATACCTCCACTTCGCTACTTCCTAGTTATATATTTCGCGAGCTAAGTGAAAATGTTCCATTGGATTGGTCGGAACCAAATTGCGCAAAATGTGAATCAGAAGGCAAATCATGCGGCTTTAAGAATCATACCACGGGACATGAAATTGAATGCTTCCACATGCCTAAAACAAAAGGTACGTAATTTGATCCTATTTTACAAACACCAAAAGTTGAAAATCTGTAGATTGAAAATAAAGAAGCAAAGGCTACAAAGAGAAAAGTTGAAGATAAAATATACTGGTCTGATTTTCTTATTTCATAAGCATAGAAAACTAATACTTTGATCCTATTTTACAGGTTCATCAATAAAACTAGTCGTGACTGGTAAAGCTCTTTCTATTGATTAAATTTCCTTTATTACCAGTGACTAGACAGGTTTTTTTTTTTTGGTTAACTTTGTTTGTTTTAATGCAGCTGTTGTCATCATAGTTTTATTAATTCTTGCTCTGTTAGTTGTCGTGCTCTATCGTATCTATACCTCAAACAAAATGTTGAAAGAAGATCAAGTAAAGATTGAGAAATTTTTGGAGGACTACAGAGCACTCAAGCCATCAAGATACTCTTATGCTGATATAAAAAAGATCACAAATCAATTCAAGGACAAACTGGGGGAAGGAGGATATGGGACAGTGTTCAAAGGAAAACTTTCAAATGAGATTTTTGTAGCTGTTAAGGTCCTCAACAATTCAATAGGAAATGGAGAAGAGTTCATCAATGAAGTGGGAACAATGGGTATGATCCACCATGTGAATGTGGTTCGCTTGGTCGGCTTCTGTGCTGACGGATCTAGACGAGCTCTTGTTTATGAGTTTTTGCCAAATGATTCCTTAGAAAAGTTTATATTTTCAGAAGGTCACAAGAACCATTTCCTGGGTTGGGAGAAGCTGCAAGAAATTGCTGTGGGCATAGCCAAAGGAATTGAATATCTTCATCAAGGGTGTGATCAAAGAATCCTTCATTTTGATATTAAACCTCATAATATATTGTTGGACCACAATTTCAATCCAAAGGTATCTGATTTTGGCTTAGCAAAGTTGTGTTCCAAGGAACAAAGTGTCGTGTCTATGACTGCTGCAAGAGGGACCATGGGTTATATTGCCCCCGAAGTATTTTCAAGGAATTTCGGTAATGTTTCATATAAAGCAGATGTATATAGCTTTGGGATGTTGTTGCTTGAAATGGTTGGTGGGAGGAAAAATATTGATGTTAAAGTAGAGAACACTAGCCAAACATACTTCCCAGAGTGGATTTATAACCATTTACATCAAGGAGAAGAGCTGGGAATGATCAGCATTGAGAAAGAGGAACATGACAAAATAGCAAAGAAACTAGCCATTGTCGGCCTTTGGTGCATTCAGTGGTACCCTGTGAACCGGCCTTCCATGAAAGTTGTGGTTCAAATGCTGGAAAAAGAAGGAAACAACCTGACTATGCCACCAAATCCTTTTGCTTCTGCAACGGAAACGAATACGAGTTCAATTAAGCCTGTAGGAGCTTTCAATAGAGATTTGGCAGCTATTTTAGAATGAAAGTAAAAGCACAATTGTTGATGTTTCTTGGTGGTATTGTATAAATTTCAATGATAGGTAGGCAACATGTCGTACTCAAGAACAAGTACCGCAATCTTATTACAATGTAGGGGAACTTGAATAAATTTCTCTTCCTTTTTTCTTTTCGTTGTTATTTTTTTTTTCTGTCTTGTATAAGTTTCCATGGCTTTCAATAATTTAATGTAATGTTATTAGCAGAAACATCTTAATTATGGTGTCAAATTATAATTCTAGTGGTGAAAGTACATATGATTTTACAACTATCATAGAATTTTCTGCTGATCTTAATAGGTATGTGTTTGTCACATAATACAGAGAGGATTGCAAAGAAACAAATAGTTACAGAACATCTTGAGTTCTGCACGATTAAGGTTCAGTACATATACATTTTCTTTGTAAAAAATTCAATCTTGAACAACAATGAAACAAGTCAAGACTTGCAAACTTGTTAGCTTCATTTGATTTAAAATCAATTTTTCTCCTCACTCCTCGCTCAGCTTTTATCTCAAGCTCGAGTTGAAATAAAATCAAGACAAACAAGTCGAGTTCAGGTTTGAAATTTGTTTTCTTAATAGTTTATACAACACAAACAAACCTCATTAAGTACATTGCCAATTTGCCATGTATTACCAAGAATACAAATTTAGGATTGATCCTTGGTGTAGGACAAGTGTCTCCTGTTTTTTTTTTTTTTTTTTTTTTTTTTTTTTTTTTTTCAGGAATCTCGATACAACTTCAAGAATTAATATGAAAATCACATGTTTATGGGGTTAATTTTTATTATTTTTTTAGTGTTATTTTAGATTAAATGAAAGAACCACAAAAAGGATAGGCCAAAAATGATTAGAAAGCTCGGTTCAGCTTTTTCTTCAAACACATTGTGTGCACCAATTCACACTACAAGCTCAATATCGCTTCAAGCTTTTCAAAGCCACAACCTATCAAACAAACAAAGATTGGAAGATTAATCTCAAAACCTAAGAAAATCGATATCAAAACACTCAATATAAAAGCCACCAAACCACAAAAATATCCCAACCTCCTTCAAAATAATATCAAGCTAGAGTTCCAATGTCCAAGAGGAAATCAATGACCTAAAAAGAATATCTCCAATGTAAAACAAGTCATATTACCTCAAAATAGCATCCAAGTTGAATGAGGAAATATGGAATTGCAAGATGGTGTTCTCGGGTGTCCTTGCAGACTTAGGCCTCGTTTGGATGGGAGGATTTGGGAATAGGGAAAGAAAAGAAAAGATGATGAATGTTGTGTTTGGATGGGAGGATTTGATGAGAAAAGAAAGAATTGAGAAGATTTCATATTGTATCCCTCCAAAATGACAAGATAAAGATGGAAAAGAAAGTAGGATAGTGATACTTTCATAATGTCAAAATTAGTCACCAAAATTATAATATTAACCCACCTTTAAAATTATAGATGGAGGGTGGTGGTGGTGGTAGTTTTTAGATTTAGAGCATGAGGATTTTTTTGAGAACTTGATTTTTAAAAAAAAATTACTTGGGAATGGAATGATTATTCAATAGGTTTATTTGTGGAATAAATTTTTATTCCTAAGAATGGATTTTCATTCAAATAGAATAGTTATTACCACTTTAAATTATATAACAAACAAATAAATGGTTGGAATGTGACATTCCAATATTCTATTCTATTCCTACTTACTAAACGTAATTAGTTCTTTTATATTCTATTATTTTAAAATTGCAATTTTTTTCAAAACTCATTAAAAGGTCCTTCCACCAAGACAGAAAAAGAATCTAACCAAGAAGTTTTTTAATTCTCTCTCTCACAGTCGTCAATCATCAATAAAAAAAAGAATAGTTGATGTTCAATTATTTGAGTCATATATAGACTCTGACATGCCCTCAATATCAATTAGCCGTGTGAGTTAAATACCGCGTGAACAGATTTATAATCAATTTCTTCTCTTCTCAATTTTTATTTGAAGCTCGAGTTGAGCTTGAGGTTGACTTGACATTGTCTAATCAAGCCAAACAGGTCGAGTTCAAGTGATGAAGGGTTTGTGCATGCTTTTTTCATGGTTGGTTGGCGCTGATCTACTTAGCCATGCATGAAACATAATTTTTTTTTTGGGTCAAGTGAAGAATTTCTCATTGTATTAGGCAGAGATTGAGCCTATTGAAATTTCTGGTGTGGGGAAGTATGTGCGTGAAAAGAATAAATATTTTTTTGCTTTGTGAAAGGAATTTTAGGTTCTTGTGGGGCTATGAAAAAGGAGTTGAAGGTTTTGAAATTATTGAATCGTTGCCTTCACTTCATTTTATCAACAACGTGTAGAGTGGGCTTTGGAAATATATATATATACAGAGACAGAGACAGAGAGAAGGAACTTGGGAATTTTGATAATCAATTTCTTAACTAATTGGTTGGTTTACTAAGGGCCAGTTTGGTAGGAAAGTAATGGAAGGAAAAGAAAAGAAAGGTAATGGAGAGAGATGGGATTTTGTGTTTGGGGTGAAATATGAGAAAGAAAAAAAAGGAAACCTAGGGGAACGGAGGGATTTAACAAAGGTTGCACATCAGTTTTTGTTATCCTCCCAAAATTGGGAGGAAACGGAAGGACAGGGCAACATATTATATTAAAATTTTGTAACTACCAACATTGCCCAAATTAATTAGTTGATTTTTTTTAAAAAACAACAACAACAACAACCACCACCATACATACAAGTTAGCAGTTGCATAGAGAGAGAGTGGGGCAAGCTTAAGAGTTGAGAGATAGCGGCTGAAGCTTGCCAACGGCGAATGGCGAATTCAAACTGGAACAGCAGGCGATGAAAACTGAAAGATATGAGTTTTGATTTTTTGAACAATCTGAAATGATATGCCGATATGGGTTTTATAAATTTGCCCTAATGATATAGGGAGTAACAAAGAAACTATAAATAAATAATTAATTAATGTTCCATTGTTCCACTCTTATCAAATATGTAATATTCACGGTACATGTTTTATATATAAGATGCAATTTGGACATTTGTGAGTCCAATATCATGTTTTATATATAAGATGCAATTTGGACATTTGTGAGTCCAATATCAGATCACATCAAATATGTGATATTCACATTACATGTTTTATATATAAGATACAATTTGGACATTTGTGAGTCCAATATCAGATTACAATGATTTGTGTGAACCTAGTAACATGCCTTATATATGGTGTGCATATATATATAAAATGATAAAATTTTTTATATTTTAAAATATGAAAGGGCATAATAATAAATTTATTAAAATAATTTTCTTTCCTTTTTTTTTCCTAAACATAATTATTATCATTTCTTTTCTTTTTCTTCATTAATCAACCAAACACAATAAGAGGTTAAAATTATTCTTCACTTTCCTTTCTTTCCCTTTCCCTCATAACTAATGTTATCATTTCCCTTCAAACCCACCATACCAAACATAGCCTAAATACATTCCGTGAGGACCGGAGAGAGGTAAGTAAGAATATAAAATTTATATTTTCCTCAACTGAGTCTTTGTAAATTGTAACGACCCAGCTCCTCATGGATCCGGATCATTAAACGGGTCCTAACCCGACCCAAAAACATCCAAGGGTAAAATGATAATTTCACGTTAAATTTAAATGTCGAGGCCCAAAAAGGGCAAGATGGTAATTTACCATAATTCAATAAATTGAGACTCCGGGTACAAGGGTCCTTAACTTGTATCATATAGTAAATAACGTAAGGTTCGGGGCAATATAATCCTTTCGGGGGTAAAAAAAATAATTATCCTATTTTGGGTCATAATATAATTACTTGCAACATCAATTGGGTGCCAAGTGTAATTTAAGAACTTAAATTAGCAATTACATAAAAAGACAGAATCGGTCGACGTATACACCTTATACGTCCACTGGTTTGGGTTATGAACAGTGGGAAAACCCACTGCCATACATCGACTGCTTTGGGACGTCAACTACTCAAACATACACTGTGAAGATACCGGTCGACTGGCTTCGGAAACTGTTCGTTGACCGGTTCTAGAAAATCTTCACTCCCACTTTCCACCGTTCTGTGTAACCCCTATACACCAACTTTTGGTCATTCAACCACCCACGTCATTACACTTACGTGCAAAATTAATACATTTCAACAATAAATTCAAGTACAACAACCACGTTATTAACGTAATTTACCACACGTCACTAAAATACACTAGAGGGTTTAGTGTAATTAAAAGTTAATTACATTTTAACATCAAATAAAAATACAACAACCATCAACAACATGAGTCACCACACGTTACTTAAATACACAAAAGGCTTATGATTGAATAAAACTTAATTACATCATCCAATGGCCAACATTGCAAACTTATTTACATTCTCCAAAAACTATGATTATACATGAAATGGCCAAATACAAAATAGCAAAAAATCATCTTCTAACAACTTTCAATTTTGAGGTGGATTGGCATCCGCTGATTTTTTTCCAAGACCTGAAAAAAATAATATATAGTGGGGTGAGCGATATGCTCAGTAGGTGACACTTAAGACACACATCTTGTATCCTTATGAATCCAATCAAAGCATAGGCCAATGGGAAATGGGGATCATGTAATGTAGGGTTAAAACAACTTCAATGTCAATTCCAAGTGTAAACAATGCAATGCAATGAAATGCAATGCATGATATGTCACTCCCCATTTTTCATTTCTCAAAACCATACTTTCCAACCGTTAATACAACCTGCCCTTTGGTAACCCCGTCACGACAAGAGAGGATGATTGGCTAGTGTCCCTGACCCTCGGTAACCTCGCGGCGTCATTATGGGGCCAGCTAGCTCAACCACGCTAGGGCGACTCCCTAGTCCCCTCTAGGCTATATTAATCTCCGGCCCGTTGGTAACCCCGCAGCGATCGGGTTATTAAAACTATTTCACAAAAACTCTTCTCCTAAAATTCTCGTTTTCATTTAAAAAATTGATTTCTCCCATTTCATGCAACCCAATGGCATGTACATGTATATGTGTCTCAAGCTTACAATATTATGGCATGTAGAAGTTTTACATTTCATAATTACTTCACAACTAAGCATATATCATATTCAACATCATCAATTGAGTCATCAACACATTAAACACAACAAAACTATCACCACAACATGTTTTTCACATAAAACAAATCAT